CTGGTTTCAAAAAGACAAGGAGAGGATCAAGATATTGAGGTGGAGGAACACTAAACTGAATTTCATGTATCTATATTCTCAAAAAGCCACATCTGCGCACTGATGCCAGTGTGCTAAGTGCAAAGTACACCAGCAAAGCACCCATGGCAGCATCATATGCACCTCAGTCCGATTAGCTCTAATCCACGGCCCAAGCCCAAGTTTATACTTATGGAGGATTATTAGATTTGAAGTTGTTCCGCCCTTCAACTATTGACCTATGACTTGCTCAAAAAAAATTTAAACACCAAGCTACAATGTATTTTTGTTGCAAAAGGATATACCGTAATATACATGTAGTTTGAAACTTAGCCCAGGTTTTGAAAAATATCTTACAAAAACTCTAAAAAATTATATATCTTCGCCCTTATTTTTAGTTGGGTTAGTTGCAGTCTTGAAGATGATTCCCCTGTAGTATCATTGCTCTGAACTTACTACCCCTTGACTTCTATTATTGCAAATAGAGCCCTAATTAAAAAGCAGAAACAAACATATACCATCAAACTAAAGAAACATGCCTGCCAAAGAATGCAAAGTAGCGATTCCATCTGATTCCGAGCAAGAGAATCTCCAACAAAAGCCAGACTTTTACCCCTCATCAGCTCCAAAAATTTCCTTCCATCAAATCGTGGGATCTCACATTCATTAGGTCTCCATCTCCAGTTCTCATAGTTCTTATCAGGTCTCCCATTACCCTGGCAATTTTGCAGTTGTGTGAAAACAGGGCAAGTATTGTTCGTATAGAGAGGCCCAGCTGGATCATAGATCCATTTCCCATGGTAGAGATCACAATTTCCTGAGAAATTATAATGTAGTGCAAGGATTATTATGTAATTTATTGATAATTTTATTTTGCGCTTGTCTGCAGGTCTTGAATTATAACATAGAATAGAACAAACGAAATTAGATGTGCCACGCAATGATTATTGGTTAAGAAAGATAACAAAGTATAATCTTCATTCATTTTTTTGGTTTTGTTTTTGTTTGTTTCATCCACATATAAACTAAATGCACTCAGTCACGCTCATGGATCGAGATATGACTTTCATTTTATTTATATACTAACGGCTATTGTAATAGAAAAATAAAGTCAAAATAAAATGATGAACTGCACCAAGCTATGATAAATTCCGATACTTTTTTAGGAAGATAATGAGCCAAGGCCTAGCTGACCACGAACGTATTCAATAATTCAGAAAAATAAATATGGGTAATATGTACTTGGCAAGGGAAACAAAGCCATAAAAAGAGTACTTACTCGGCTTAGACTCCTTCAAAACTTTTGGAGGGGAAGGAAGAACTGCAACTGAAACAGTCTGATTCAAAGAATCTACAGCACTTTTACCAATTCTAGAATCCTTTTTCCCAGAATCATCAACAAAATTAGATGAAACAGAGACATTAAGCTCCTTAATATCAAAAACATTTAGAGAGACAGAACTACTAGCATCCAAGGATAATGCTGGAGCAATTGCTGGCACCTCAACCCCAATATAACCATCAATTTTATCACCATTTTCCCCAGAATCATCAGCAAAATCAGATGAAATCGAAATCGACACATTAGGCTCCTTACTATTTGAAGTAGCATCAATAGATAATGCTGGAGCAGATGCTGGCACCTCAATCCCAATATAACTATCAGTTTTAGTACCATCAACCGATGAAACTGACACACTATGATCTTTGATATCATTCACAGAAACAGAATTATTAGCATCTGCGGATAATTCTGGAGCTAATGCTGGCACTTTGTCTTCATCCTTAACTATGCCATGGCCTTGTTCTGAAAATTCAGGTCTATAAACCAAAACTTTGGTTCGATTTCCATTTATTGAATCCAAATAAGGCTGGATTGAATTGAATATACCTAGAGAACACCCACTAAAACTGTAATTGAAACAAGTGGGATTGTAGCTAACAATTAGGAATGCAATCACAATAGACAAACCTATGCCTCCCACTGAAATAACAAGGAATAAAATTGATCTAGAAACCGATGTTAGATTTGCCATGATGCCCAAAATCTCAAATGGGTCGTCAAATATCTGAGATTACTCACTGAAAGGCAATCAGAAAGTATTTGATAGCAATTAGAGGGTACCTCAAACTCAGACTCTTCAAGGCTTCGCCCAACCCATGACATCTGCACTAAGATTTATCACACAATTCCCAGGAGTCAATGGTACCAAACCAAGAAGAGAATATAAAAGATTTGGAAGAGGAGTGATTTTTATTTTCTAGTCTTATCTAG